GAACCACAAACTTGGCCAGCCGAAGGAGAGACGGCAACTGCGTCAAACTCAAGCAGTACTACTACACGCAAGATCGATTCTCCTCTAGACCGCCGTAAGCAAGAACTTGTTGAAAATGTCAGTTTTTTGGAGGCACAGATTTCAAGTGCAGAAGACCACTTGGCAAAGCTTAAAGGCGAAAATGATTTGCTCCAAACCGTTTCCCGCGGAAGAATTTGTAGTCACTGTCATCAGTCTGGCCATAACAGAAACAATTGCCGCGAAATTGCATGTGATTCTCACACTAAATGTAAATTGAAAGACAAACATCCAGAAGTGGGAAAATCAATCAGTGAAACTCAAAAAATTCTAACTGTGCTAAGGAAAAACAAGGAAACGGCCAAGCAATCTCTGGAGCAATTTATGTTACAGCTTCAGCGATCGCGCGGGAATTTTTTCGCCGTAATGCGTCCACGCTTGAAACGCCTGAATCCAGTAAAATATCTAAATCGTCAAGAGCTTGATAAAGATCTGCTTTACCTTCATAAAGCGCTTGAAAACAAAGTACCACCGGAATCAGAGGATTGGCGCTTACCTTACCTTATTGACAACTGTAAAGGCCAAGTAAGTTCTTTCAAGGAAAGTGCTGCGTTACTTCCCATTTCTTTGCGTGCTAATCCTCCCGAAAATTCATTTTATAATGGCTTCAGTGTAAACAACGGGGCAAATTCAACTTCAAGTGTGTCAGTAAGATTCCACCCATATCAATTGTAACTCTTTTAGGCTTATAACACCCGCGTGTAACAGCTATATGTTGAAATATTTTGTATGTCATTATGTTGTTGTAACTTTCACTCGAAACCGAGATACATCGGCAAAGGACATAAACGTTGTGTTTTTACACTAGTACAGGCGAAAGTGCAGTGTTGCAGATACTTTTTTTTCTGTCACCCTACAAAGTTGGACATGTTTCCTAGTCTCATACGTGTAACTTAGCAAGCATGATCATGAAGGTTATAATAAAGTTGAAATTCGAGAGTTGTTCTTGTCGAATTCTTCTTAGAAAAATACATTTTTAGACATGCATTGAACAATATAAAGCCGTTGGGTTGTAACATGTGAGCATTCGGACATTTACGGGGATTCTTTTGGTAAGAAGAACTGCGATCGGAGATAATCCTATTTTTTTTTGCGCGCAAAATGTGCTAATTTGGACTTGAAATCTTCTTGGCTAAATCCCCTCATAACTAGCTTCCTATAGCATGTAATCCCCCAGATATTAAATGCGTAAATTCTTTCAGAGAAAAAGCAAAGGAATACGAAAATGGGACTGTTTACTTTGCGCGATCTGCCAATCATTATTTGGTTGGCGGTCTTTCTAGTTTGCGACCTTGCGATCAACGGACTTTTGCCAGCACAGTAGTTCGAAGGTTCAATCGTTAGTCCACACAAATCGAATCCCCTTGTTCTACCAAAAAATATTAGCGAGGATTATGCTATCAGAAACGAAAACATCACGGTTGTTCATTTTTTTATTGTCTTCATGATATGTCGTTACATGGAAAGCGGGTCGGCGTCGCGTCGCGTCGCGTTGGCTTCTAAACTCGAGCGATGTACTGGATGCGGTCCTGGGCACTGATCTTGGGGAACAGCGGTGTTTTAAATTCCTAGTAAGGCAGTTTGTATCCTTAAACAAAACGAAAATAATTTGTTCCATGACCGATCGGAAACCGTTCGTGGCCTGTGGTTTCTGTGGTGTGAAGATCTCACCTGTGATTGGTTGCAACACAATAAACATTCCAGACATATTTTAGGTGTTCACGCCAATATAATCACTGCTGTAAAATAACGTAATGTACAAGTTTAACATTACTGAGTATTCATTTCGCCAAGTGACACGTGATATCAGGTCAAGTTGTGGTTAAGGGTATGACTTATAGGCTGGATTATTATGAGCCTGCGCTACTCCCCGGTAAAGACGGCTGGGAGAGCGGCGGAAGTTAGCCTATTATTTTTTTTTTCTAGTTGTTTAGCAATCACGACATTATGCGAGAATGTCTTCTTTTATAAAGCGGTTCGATTCTCCCGTGACTGCTATCCGAAAATTGAACAGTCAGCTTTTCCCTAACTACTGTCATTGGGGATTCCTCTCAATTCCCTCGGGTATAGGAAAATGACTAGAGTATTATTCTACTAGCATCAGTATACAAAGATTTATAAAACTAGCTTACCCATGGTGGCTAGTTCCCACAAAACAACTCCAAAAGACCATCTGCAATAAAAGGAAGCAGATAAAGAAATTGCAATAATTAACTTCATAGAAATATCAATTTTGTTTATCTCGCCCCATGGATGGTAATCCAGGAGATTTTTGCTTGGAGTCATGAACTTTGGAATCCGGAATCCAGCTAACTATGAAATTCTGGAATCTAGGCCTTTTGAAATCTGGAATACACTGAGTTGGAATCCGGAATCTAGTATCTGGAATGCGGGATGTGGAGCCTGGAATCTAGGATTCAAGATGGTCTCTGATTAACTTCATTGGCTCAAAGTTTCTGTTTATATATCTTATTTTCAAGATTCACGCCGGGAACAGGCTAATGTTTTCCAAACACTTGAGTATTTCTTTAGAGATAGAGTGATAACCGCTACTGTAGACAGTGTCATGATCAAAATTGTGCTCTTTCTTTTCAGACAGTTCTAAACAGTACATTGCAGGGTCTTTGTTATCTAAAACCTCAACTTTACACTGCATCACAGGAAGCCTAAGCTTGGCCTAACTGTGACTTCGTTAACATATACTCACACGTCAGTATTGAAAGTAAAAATGCCGCTTTCCAACGCTTCAGGTGCCATCCATTCCATTGGTAGCTTGTGTACGCTCGTAACTTCGTATATTTCACCCTCATTTGCGTGGCGTAACATACCAAAATCAGCAATCTTCACCGCTCTGTCCTCAGCAAGTAGGATATTACGGGCTGCCAGGTCACGATGAATGAATCCTTTGCTGGCCAAGTATTCCTGGCAGAGAAATAACGAAATTATTTCTCAAAGAATTTTTAGTTACCAGATACCTTTAGATCCAAAAAAAAAATTCCAATATGAAATTAAAATGGAAGCTCGATTTTACGATATGGCAGGGGGATAGCAGTTTAATCGGGATATCGTTGTAAACGAACTCCCGATTTAACGATTTGGCGGGAAAGCAACCAAGTGCAATGAAACGTCTGTTCCAGGCTCAAAGATAGCCCGCCACCGCCCCTTTTTCCTAATCACGCTTTTATATTTTTGCCGGTGCCTTACGCTTTTTTGCCTTATTTTTGCCGGTGCCACCCCTACTATCGAGAGCCTGGAACAGGCTACTGAACGCTGTGCCTGGCAAACGGTCTGGAAAGCTGGAGGAAGTGATCGTCGGTCTATTCATGAAGAATGGAGGGAGGATTTCCGTCACAGCTGTTGGAAAAGACGAAACAAATTAAGGAATTGGCCAAGAAATCCCCGCGACGTATACTTTTCAGCACAAAAAGCCGTCAAATTTGAACAAGCTAAGTGAACTACAGTCGACTCCAGCTCGAACCCTCGCTAACTCGAACCTTGTGCTACCTCGAACCAGAATCCATTTCCCCTGATTTCCTTTACTGTAATTTATCCTCGGTAACTCGAACCCTCGATAACTCGAAACTCCCGCTAACTCGAAGTAATTTTTGTTTCCCTTCAGATCACTTTCATGCAATTTTACCCTCGATAACTCGAAGGGATGAATATTGGCTGAAAAATAAGGTTTTCAGTTAAGATTTCAACCGCGGAAGAAAACCCGTTGACACCTGTTGACACTTAATTAGATGCTGTTTTTCAGGGAGACTTAAGGTGAGTGGAATAAAGCCCTTCTTAGACTGCCACGCCCGAAAAAGAAAAAAAAACTATTGGTTGTTACTATACTGCTGATTTCTATTTCGAAGTCACCCAAAACGGCATACCCTCAGTGAACATTATTCATTTAGAAATTAGATTGTTTCGTTAAAAAAGGTTCATTCATACCAATGAATAAACAGCAATTATTGGATGAGGCAGAGTTATGCGGATCACCGGGAGGGTGTTATTCGCTAAACCCAAAAGCCAAATATACAGCTGAGCCAGAAGATACCGTAAAATTCCGAAAATAAGCCCTTACATGTATAAGCCCCTCCAAATATAAGCCCCCCAAACTCGTAACCCAAAAAACCCTCCGTTAAATCGCTCCTCCATATATAAGCCCCCCGGGAAGCTTGTACTTGGAAATTTCCTTCCAACTATAAGGCTAGCCCAATCGATTTTGAAACACAAATTTCCCTCCATAGATGAGCCCCTCCAAAAATAAGCCCCTCAAAAAGGCCTTTGAAAAATATAAGCCCCGGGGCTTATTTTCGGAATTTTACGGTATATCAATTGAGCTTACAATAGTTAGCAAATACCATCATGGTTGCCGTTTACAAAAAGCAGTCCCTTAGCTTCAATCATCAGTTCCACTTGAAGACCGTTTATTGTGCTTTCCAAGATTCAGATTACGGGAGTATTTAACTAGAAAGTCCTTGCTGCTCAGTCTTCCAGTCCCGAAAACAAATTTAATCATTACTTTTTCTTTCCTCTACTTCCCCTCTTTTCTCAGGGGCGTAGCCAGCGCACAGCCCTGTAGGCCCGGGCCTTCAAATTTTTGGTTTGATCACTCTACGGCTTGTAACAAATTATGCGTTGTTGGAGTCAGTTGAAAAAGCACAAGAGCTCAAATTGTTGGTGAGGTCAGTGCGTACTGGTCATGCGTACAATTTTCATGATATGTGGAAATGAAAGTCAGCCAGGCCTACAACTAGCCAAAAAGCTGGCAACGTCCCTGAAAGTCAGGCTTGCACTATTCAAATTAAATAACTGATAGCTTAGCCTTATTCAGGTCATACGGCTGTATTCATTGGACTCCTTTTCGAAAATACGAACAGACCTGATTTTTCAATAGGTACCTTCACGACGGCTCCACGTGATTTTTAGGCTTCTCGGGCTATTAAAAAAAAACCTCGTTTTTGACCTTTTTTAAAAATCAAACGGTTCAATTTTATGTGTGCTATGTTTCACGAAAAATTCAGCAAGATAGTAGTTAGCCCTACTGATGGTCTGTTATAATTAACGCAGCAATTTGAATGCTTGAAAAATCTGCCGTCTCATGACCGGATAGCATAATACTTGCAGACACAGAAAAACTAGTAGTAAAGTACTCTAAATACGGGGAAGAGGCAGATGTTTGTGATTTGCAAACGATGATTAAATTGCAAAAGACATTCTTCAGTCGAAAAAGTTCTTACCATCTCTTTAGCAATCTGCCACGCATAACATAGAACTTCTTTCCCAGAAATGTCTTCTTCATCATCTTCCTTGCCCTCACAGCTGCCTTCTTCTTTCTCGATGGTAGTCTTTTCTTCGACGTTTCTTAAAGGCTCAGCGGGAGTAAGCTCTTTTTCTTTGGAGAAATGGGCAATACTGATCGAAGGTAACACCATCACCGACGTAACCGACTCCTTTCGCCCTTCATTTTCTTGAAATGACGTGTTGACATCGTCACTTTCTTCTTCCTCCTTGTCATCTTCGTAACCCGGGTTTAAGCAAGAAGGTTCCATCTCACGTCGAGGAGCATCGTTGATTGGAATTCCTCTTTCAACGTCGTCCAGGTCGATTTTAATTTCCTTCGCCCCGTTGGAATGACAACCACCGTCTTTTCCACTTTCTTCATTCCCTTTTCCCCTGTTCTCCTCTTTCAGGTTTTCATCCGGGACATCTTTTGTTTGCAGGTTCCTGGACACCAATTTCGGCCTCTCAGGAACAGGAGGCTTAAGCCTTTCAACGACATCACTTTGCCGACTTTTTTTCATTGTAAGCTGCAAAAAAATATTGAAATGAATTCCGTCTGATCATGAAACGGTTTTGTCAGCAGAAACAATTTCAACACTATCAGTTGGTTAGCCGAAATATTTTTACCCATTTAAAAGGAATCCATGTGAATTGAAAGATTACTTAACCGACGTTAAACTAAAAATCCAGCCGGGAATACCTTATGGGCCAACTTTCTTTAAATCGTCCACGGAAAATTCAAATGGATTAAACTGCAATAGAAACAAAGCTTTTCTTCTGCTTTGTTACAATTTTCTATGACATTTTAAAATACACAGTCCCAAAAAACGCGACGTGTGCTTCTTGATATTAGGTTTGACCTAATGCCACTTGTGACGTCATATCTCGTACAGGGCTTACGGGAAGGACAATCATTATCTCCACCAAAATATTTTGATGACACTTTTCTACTACGTCGGTCGGAGGGTAAAAAGAAAAACTCTGATGTTATCAACTGATTTGAAGAACTCATCTTGCCACCAATGAAAGACCGTGGATCGAAAAGCTGACGGGCATTTTGAATGGACGCCCTTTGTCAACTCGAATCAAGAACGGTTTATCAAATGTCGGAGCTCAATTACGGTGAATACATGGGAAAATATTAAAAAAATAAGCAAATTATTAGAATGAAACGCGTTCGTTGAAGTAAACTATTCTTGTCTTGTTACCATGCTCAAACAATAGCGTAGCTCCATTATTAGTAATCCTGTGATTCATTCTGACCAGAAAAGGTTAACGCCCACCTGGGGGGGGGGGGTCTCTAAAAAATTTCGAAGAGTTGAGACAAGCGAAAATCAATATCCTATTCAAGACCCAAACGTGGAAAATGAGGCCCAGTTTAAGAAAAACAAAACCTAAGAATTAATGGAAACAGAAAAAAACTTCCTTAAATCGCGCTCCTAATATAATCAGCTCAAGGGTAAAGTTCAGTTCTAACAGATCTATGATTTGTTTCTCGTGTGTTGGGCATTAACGAATGTGAATTTTACCTGATAGAATAACGGTACCCTATCGGCAACATTGCGCCAATAAGGGCAACAAGGATACCATATTTAAGGATGGAGATCCTCATCCTATCGGGTGGGATAACCCCTGGGGAAACGCTCTTCAAGTTTTTTTTTTTCTCACAACCTACCCCTCCCCAAAGACAACATCAACACTACCTTCTCACTTAGGTAAAATGTGGCTTAGGGAGGGATTTCAGTTTCCGGAAACCTTAACTGATCCTACCGGGGCAAGCTTAACTTTACTGACTTTATGAACACATATTTTTGTGTATTTACCGATCTTTGTTTAACGAATACATGAATAGCATCTAAACAGTCTGGCTGTATAAACCGCGTTTGGGAAAATACAAATGTCCGGTTGCATTTATACCTACATTTTTAAGTGAACCTCTGTCTTTGAGAACTTAAATTATAGGTAACATGTACAAATTCTCATATCAAGTTGGTTAGCATCTTATTATTTTTAACGAAGACGATGGTTCTTAGACGTGTGATGAGATAGAGGATTTTCCTTCTGCCTTAAAGCTCCTTAAGAGACCACACAATGTAAGAAAAAAACACACGCAGCAGGATGATCATTAGAAAATTAAAGTGCAGCACAGAATACTAATGACGTCAGAGTGACTACTTTGCAATGTTTTTCTGAAATCTGCCATTTTTGTTTTTTTTTATGACAAAAGTCAGAGAAACTTGACATTTAATGGCAAAAAAACAAACAGAAATAAGGAATTTGTTTGTCTGAGTTTGAGTTCTATAATACTACCTGTGCGCAGTACTATTGCGAATGGAGAGCAGGTATTTTATTTTTAAACAAAGGGCAAAAAAGAGGGCAGCAAATTTTCATTGACACAGCTGATAAAGTAATGATACCTGTTGCCTTTTGTTTCTGAGCCACTGAAGAAGATCTCCGTTTGGAACATATTCCATGATTAACATGATGGGATGTGATTGGATCCAGTACCCGAGCATGCTCACAATATTACGGTGTGTTCCGACTTCCTTCATCAGCTCAATTTCCCGAACTAACTGCCGTTTGTCCTCCTCCGTGGCATTTTCTGAAGAAAAAGAAAGACATTGAAAAAAAAATCCAGTAACCGTGACCTACGTAAATGCTACACGATATCAGTTAGTACTAAACAACTAAAACCAGATGTAAAGATAAAAAGAACTAATTAAAATGAAAGTACACTTAACCTATGAAAATAAAACACAGTCAATGGCTCAGGTCCTAATTTCTGCTTGAGAAAAAATCTATTTGTTAAATAATTGGTTCCCTAAGTTAAGTGACGTAGATAAAACAAAGTCTCAAAGAAAAACCGTTAGTTCTCTTCATCTAGCGATCACCAAGCACAACATGTAACATGATGTAATGCTGGATGATCTTTTAGTCCGGAAACTTGTTTCTTTAATTCTATACTAGACGCCACGTTTTGTGTTCTTTAATTGCTTCCCTATTCTCGATCCAGGGGCTCTTCATCTTCAATAATATGACTTTCCTTGAGTTCCTTGAGTGTACATTAATTTTGTAATCCTAACGTATCTATCCAATTGGCTCACTTCCATTGACTCTGCATAGACAGGGACATCCTAGTGTGCTTGTGTAGATGGGTTTCATGAAGGGTTTTCGGCTCACTGTCATCGTCATCATTATCATCAGCAAGCTCGAAGGCTCTTTACAATAAATGTTTTCAACTTAAACGACTAGAAAGCAGTAACTCGTAACATTAAAAAATAAAAAAAAAATTGTTAAACAAAACTACGAAATAAAAATAACGCTTAGAGGTTTTTAAAGCTTTTACTAAGATTGCTCTTAGAAGAACGAATATTCAAACTCCATTTTACACTCTATCTGCTATGGAGAATCATTGCAAAGTTTAGGGACAAAACGAAAAAGCATTATCGCCCGATAAAATTTTAGCCTTGATCTGAGTGTCATCAATTAACAAGTTCATGGTTGATGATGGTGAACTCCTAACAGTTTTGTAAGTTTGAAACAAATGATGAATATGGAAGGGACATAAATAGTTTAAAATTCCGCCACTCGTGCTCCAAGGGAAGCCAAATGAATGTAGTTCTCTAGTAAGTAAAGCAATAACCTGGTCATATTTGCAACCACATACGATCAGATAAAGTTCTCAAGTGATGACTGAAACATGTAAATAACGTATTTCGAAAGATTACATAAGAGAACTAGGGGCACCCAACGAGGATATAGTTCAAAACCACTTAAACATAGCATTGTTAAGCGTATTTAGTATTTAAACGGTAGATATAGGCATATTTTTATCTCTTAAAAATATTTCATCTGTCCGGATTTCCTAGCTGAGAGCCTTGACTAGTGTTCCGAAAATTATAGGGATCAAAGCTTATTACCTTTTCGAAAATTTAAACCAGGAAAAAGGTTCCCGAAAATTCTAGGTGACCTTTTTAAAATGCGTTAAAAATGGGCAATTATACCATTCGTTAAAAGTTGGAAAATCCTAGGAGAGGCAGGCAAGCAAGAAATTTTACAACAAATGTTCCGAAAATTCTAGATCTCAAATCATCTTCCGAACAGATAATTTCCGAATATTGACGTTAAGTGCCCCTGAGAGAACGACCAATCTACACATTACGAAGGCATGCACTAACATTTTGAATTGGTTTAAAAAGATTAATCTGTTATCATGTCACAGCCCTGAGAAGTGATCATGCAGCCTGCTCTGTTTTGCATTTTTTATATGTGTGTGGTTTTGTTAAAAGATGTCCGCTCGGTTTTCGCTTGAACACGGGCATCGATTTAAGCGCTATATACTTTTTAGTACATTTAATGTGACATAATCTCGAGCTTGGTTAAGACCACTTATAACACGACTAACCTTGGAGCACACCTTATCAACGTTCTGATCTCACTGAAGGTTTTTATGTCTACAGTAATTTATTCATTGCAAATGGTGTGGTGAATTGCAAACATTCAGGGAGGTCATTAATTAATATAAGTAGAAAACAAAATTTAAGGATTTAAAATGGGCCTCTGAGGTACATCACACTGTTACCAACTGGGGCATTGAGATGCTGTTTTCCACGATATAATGTTTGCCATCTATTGGATTAAATAATTCAAACCTGTTACAAGAGAGGCTCTCTTGCCTGTTATTAATAAGAATCACTCCCGTGAATAGCGTTTGCTGAAAGAGTAAGTTATCTTTTTGCCATACTCTGCATTCACGCACCTGGTAGAACTTTTGTAGCAACAATACGTCCCTCATGTGAATCCAAACTATGATCCTTGGGTTTCGAGGATGTATTCTTTTCAGGTATCCCCCTCATCACGCTCTTATAAACTCTTCCAAAAGCGCCTCGTCCCAGTTCCTCCATGATAGTAACCCGCTCGTGTGGGACTTCCAGCAACATAAACTCAGCAATGTCAGACTCACTGGATCAAAGTGCAAATTAAATGTCAATGAAATTTCTCGTAATTAATCATGGGCTTGTGGTAGCGCTTAAATCAGGGACGGCTTCCTAGTTGATAAAATTTAGTCAAAAGTTACACTGCCTTGGCCTGTAAGAAAGGTCAGTTGTTTCTTGGGAGTGAGTACGACACCAGATAGACATGCCCAGACACTTTATCATGGAACAATTCAGCAACAAAGAATAATATTCTAAATTTGAGTGATATTATCATTTGAATGAAATACCGTTTATCATTCCTCTTTGCTCTCTTACGGCAGACAATTATCCCCACCACCACAGCAGAGAGAGCCACGGAAACTCCCAGCATTATCCAGGCAATCTTTGCAGTATCATTTTTGGCGATAGGGGAGCCTCCTGTAGGATCATTAGCAATCGTTAATGCTAAGAACTGTAACAGTTATACACATCATTGAAAAAGTAGCTTTAATGTTTAAGTAGCACCCGGGGCGGCTTATTTAAGAGATGGGAGCTCTTCTTTGAAAGGGATCACTTCGTTCTTCAGAATTTGAAAGCCTGGAAAATTACATGGTATATGACGATGAACCCTTGGCTGTTGAAGAATGGTTTAAAAAGTAAGAAGAAGAAGTTAAAGAAAATGATAAGCTAGAGCGTGTACTACGGGTTTAAGAGAACTACGGGTCAGTTCAGTTGCTGAGTGCCGGCAGATCAATTCGTACGATCGCGTGAAGAAGTAAGCTTATGTAAATAATCGAATATCTGCTTGTTTGGCGGCATGATTGCTATGATGTATGAGGAGAGTTGTTCGCATTCGCTATAAAAAAGCGGTATTTTTGGATGATTCTAGTTACCCTGAATGTAACGTACGTATATTCAGGATTAGGGCACCTGTTTAGGATTCGTTCGATTAACCTTGTTCTGGAATACAAATATATACGAATGGCGTATAATCTTATTTTTTTTATTGTTCTTATCATTCCTATTATATTTCGGAGAGCGTAAATCAGAATAATTACAATAACAAGAGTAATGGCAGACGTTTTCGGTGAAGCGAAAAGGTAACGAGAAGGGCAAAAACGTGAACGCGTTTGGTTTGTCAGCGGTATTAGCAGAACAACAACTTTGCACGTGCAACACGCTTTTTTATACAGTTCTCCGGAATGTTACTAAAACAGTGAACGACCACGGGGAACAGGAAAATGAAAAATGGGAACAAAACCTAACTTCAACCCTAGCCCACTCGGTAAATTCATTTCCAATTCTCTGTTTGTTCCCCACTTTTCATTTTCCCGTTCCCCTTGCTCTCGTTCTCTGCTCCCCTTTCCCCGTTTTAGTAACGTTCCGGTTCTTCGCCGTCATTATACGACCACGGCGTGAGACTGTCAAGTTTTACGTTTATGGAGGATTTGAACACATGAGAGCGATTTTCTTTTCCAAACTGATATACAATTCTTTAGAATTTAACCCTTATGAATATCGGGCAACATTTCGCAACTTAAACGAAATGGACCCGAAGTAAGAGCGATAAAGTTTGAAAAAGCGTGAGTTCGTTTTCGCCGCTGTCGCCGTCGTAGCTGCTGAAGCTCCCGGGGCTCTCCTCATGAAAAGGTTTACTGGAGCAGATGAAAGACGTATTTCCTTACACGAGGAAATTAAATCAAAGAAGCTATTTCTCAGTCACCATATCCTCCAATTTTGAGCAGCTTCCAGAACTTTCCAAATTAAGTTATTTTTCCAGGAAAAAGGCAAATGATAATCATATGACAATTTTCGTCCGTCAAATCTTTCTTTAGAATTTCCTCTACAAAGGAAAAAATAAACAAAAAAAACAAAACGAAACAAAACGTAACAAAATGAACCAAAAAACAATAATTTCTCCTGTCAACAATGTGAATTATTGCATTGACGTCATCTCTGTAATATCTTTGAAAACAGAACGATCGTTGAACGATCGAGATGGCCATGAAAAATGTAAACATAAAACGTCATGACAGGCTATTTGAAGGAGAACGATCGCTAAAAGTATGAAAATTACAGATTAGCTTCCCATAAGCGGAGGCTTATCTGTTCATTTTTGTTGCTGTTCTTGAAACATCTAAAGACTTTCATGTGGTAAATTCCGTCGTCGTTTGTTTTACTGTCTACGTGGCTTGCTTCTGAGGGAGCAGAAGCGGGTGCCAGCTTCTCTAGAAGTGTACAGTTTATGGGCGTTCGCATAGGTTTGAGTGATTATGGTTTAGTGTCTATACCAAATTCCTATCAGCTATTGGACATACATAGGGTAATGTCGCACCTTCAGAGCGGGTTTTAAATTTCCAAGAAACTGACCAGTCGCTTTGAACTTCTCCAAACCAGGAAGACACTCCAATTTCATACCCCTTGTCGCATTCCAGAGGTAAAAGACGAAAGGTGGTAGCAGGAACCGTTAATTCTTCCCATTCAGCTTCATTGCCTAGTGGCTTTATCTCCCTATACCGTACAGTGCTCTTCGTTATGGTGCATAGTTCTTTTCTACTCCACGTTACATTGACTTTGCAACCATGTATTTCCGACTCTTTGTTGTTTATCACGGGTGTAATTGGTTTGCCTTTAAATAATGAGAATAATACTATGATTATTTAGTGATTTCCATCGATTTTTTTGCATTGATAGATGAATGTAAAAAGGTACACTACGAAACCTACAAAACTATCTAACAACTTATTAAACTCGAACAATTAACAACCAGCTCACCGACGCCATCTTAAGTAACTGATATAATTATGCGCATGCGTTGAGTCCTTTAAAAAGAGTTCTTGGTTAATTCCTGCGAGACCGAGGTCCCTTGAATGTGACAATAAGCACACAAAAAAATGATTTTGTTACTTAAATTTGCCTGTAATTAATTTTTGAAACTTGACAGAGGGCGCTTATTCGAGGAGGGCGTTTACTCGAAGCTAGGCGCTTACTAAATTTTCACCATTTTCAGCAAGTTTAGTATGTTTATTTTGGAACAAAACAATAAATGGCAATAACAAAACGCGAAGATGTAACAAAGCAAGGTTTCTGTAAAATACTCTGAAGAAAACTCTTTCGGGGAAGTCTCTTATTAGTACTTATTCAATTTCAATTTCAATTTCAATCTCATTGTCACTCAAGTCAGTAAATGATTTCTCTGGTGCTGCCTCCTCGATGTCCGACGTCGTACCGTCGGCAAATGGCAAAATAAAAATAGTGTCCCCAATTAGTACTTTCGTACTAAATATATCAACACTCAAATAATTAAGTGCATTTTTTTAGATACTACTCTTGCCTTTGATTAAGTCACCAATCTGCTTCACGGATAAAGCTTTTCCAGTCACGTAAAGATCCATGACTGCTCCAACAAACACCCCATTTGCCATTGGCATCCGGACTAAACCCGGATCATTCCCTATGATGTACTCTGGCTGATAACGGCCTAACGATGAGAAGAAATACTCATTCCATTGGTCTATCAGTGCCTCCTCCGTACCATTAACGAACACCTTGATCTTATGCAGCTGACAGGTTACTGCTACGTGATTCCAGTAATTGATTTGTAAGTGGGAAGTGTTGTGTATCGATAGAATGAGTCGGGAATTCTTGACCGTCACGTAAAATAGTTTTCCACCCTTTGACCAAAGCGCCATTATAGGCCCGTGAACACCAATATACTTTACCCAAAATGCAATTGTAAAGTCACAGGTTGTTATGTTAATGTTAGGGACAGTAGCATAGGAACCATTCTGACTGAAAGTGGCCGCTTTGCTTCCGGGACACCAGCCTTCAGTATGGTTAACGGTACCAAAATACCTGTAAGATGACAAAAACCAATGAATAGAATCTAGCTGTGAATAAAAGAATTACCTGTCATAGGAACATGCAAGGCACTATTTTACCCTCGAATCCTAAGTTATGAGACAAAAATTAACCAGTCAACGCTATGAGTGTAATGCCACCTGCAGCAGTCAGAAATGCAAATGCATAAGTTTTGTGGCGATGCTGAAACCTGGATGTCATCATGAAAGAGACAATGGTTAATCTGAAAATTTATTTAAGAGTTAGAGAGAACTAAGAAGGGAAGTCGTTGTCGTATAAAATCTTTTGAAATACGAAAGTAGGGGTAAGGCATAAAACGCCAAGCCTCCGCCCCCACCCCCCAACCCCCCCTCGTCTCGCCCCCAACATTGAACAAACTAGAGACATATAACCCCACTAACCTCACATCTGGATCACTGCCATCTAGAAACCAGCGGCGGTATACGGGTTTTCCTAACAAAACTAACAAGTTCATTCCAACAGTAAAAATATATGGCGATATCAAACAAACCTGTAATAATAAGCTACTCTGATTTCATTATACTTCGGTCTTCCGTTTCCGTTTATAATGTTTAGAACCATAAGCATTTTACGTAAACTTAGGACTCTTTAACTGAGACCGAAAAAAGGCATGTACACGCTCAACAGCAAAGCTTTGAGATGAAATAATTCTTAGTTCGTCTGAACTTTGTTTTTGCTTGTTTGTTATTTATTGTTTTCCCAAAGAATCCCCACAATGCATAGGAACGACGTGTGTCATTAATTCCTTATTTTCTATCTTGGGCCAGTTCTATGAAGTCACGCCGAAGCCAAAGTATCAAGCTTAAAGGTTTCTTCAATAGGAAATATAATGAATCAGACCTAAAGAATTCACGTTGTTATATTCATACTACTTGTGCTGGCGATTTTAAGGGGGAGATTATATTGGCTGGGCCGCCAGCTCGGAATAGTGTTAACAGGAACAGCTTCACCCAAGGCCTTAACAAGCAATTTACTTGGCCGACTTATCAAGAAGGTACGCAATTCTTTACACACAAGAAACCAGTTTTTAAGGCTCAGTGGTCACGAAACGCCACAGTAAATGTAAATTCAACATGTTTAACATCCTACGAATGACGTTTTTATTGAAGATGTAAGTACAATTTACTGTACATTGAGTAAGGAGTGGAAGGTTTAGGGTACCTGTTTAGGATTCTTCGATCAACCTTATTCTGGGATACGAATACGTAGAATCGCGTGTAATCTTTTATTATAATTATCATTTTTTTTCATTATTCCTCTTAATGCTTCGGGGAGCATAAAACGGAATAATTACAACAACAAGAACAATGGCTGACTTTTCTCGGTTACGCAAAAAAAGCAGCGAGTGGGGCAAAGAAGCAAAAGGATTTTATAACATAACAAAAGTAAATCGCGCGCTCTGATTGGTCAGTTAGCCACTACCATTTTCCCGTGGGTGCACGCCAAGAAACTGAGCTGGCGCGGTAAAATTTGAGCAAATTCAACAAATCCCCTCTCCTGACGGTAAAATACACCGATGAAATGCACAGATGAAAAGTGGAAGTTAAAGAAAATACTTAGCTGTTGTTATAATACCTATTAGTAAAATCCAACTAGTGGTTTATCATCAATGCTGCGTTCTGATTGGTTTAGCTACTACCAGGCTATATGTTATAGCCCATTAGTAGCGAAAAGCGCCGGATTTTTGGCGGCAAAAAAATGATTAAAGTCTTGCTTTAAGTTGTTTTGTCTCGATATTTTTGACCAACTAGTTGGATTTTACTAAAACAATTATTCCTCTCGCCCTCATGGCCTCTGAGTCAATAGCCCATTCGGCCTTCGACCATATGGGCTCTTGACTCAGGGCCCATTCAGGCTCGAGGAATAATTGTTAAATACCTTCGTTTCATTTTATCTACAAGATTTACTTTTATTGTTGAAAGAAGTTGAAAAAACATGCATTTTCACTCAAAACTAACTTGACCACCTGCTACTTATGACGCCATATCTCGTAACCACAGAAACTGATCATCACTAGACTTGTCTCAAAATCTACGAGAGGGACAAACAAACGGCTACTGAAAACGTTAGGTGCTAATTTTTAATCGTCTAGGAAAAAACACGGAAAAACCTAAGAGGGGGTGGAGGGAAAAAAGCAGAAAGACCTCAGAGGGGGATTGCCATCAACCCCCTCCCCCCTTTGTACGTCCGAGGTTTAAAAACTTAACTATTTACAACACTGTGATGCTGTTATGTTAACAAATCCATATTGTAATGCATTACCACTGCTACTCATCATTAGCCATCTTCACTTCCTAGTGGTTTCTTATCATTTGAAATGATTTAATGAACGCCGCTAGCTGATGCGTTTTCGAAGTTGTGTTGCTTATCTTTTTAAAGCAATTGCTGAAACCTCCACACCGCTTTTTTAATAGATTTCTATTAAAGCTGTCATGGTCTCTCGAAAAACAGCTGCAATAAACAACGCAGAAATAATGATTTACAACGGCTTATATTCCAACTATGAAAACAGTAACTGGATACAAATAAGCTGATATGTCACAGTAAGTTTCATGCTATGAAGAAGATCAAAGTCATAAAGGCGAATCTCATAAATAATAAGTTTATTACAATGTGCGATGGAGTTATTACAAATTGCGACAGCTAAGTTCATTATAAAGTGCGACAAAGTTTATTGCAAATTGCGACATATGTTACAAAGTGCGCCAGGGGGGCAATAATTATTGCAAATTGCGACAATACTGACAGGCCATCTTGCTCGGCATGCCTGACAGCAAGGCAAAGCCTCGTTAGCATTTTAAAAAGAATCGGCGAAATTTTATACCCAATCAAGTGGCGGATTCTAAAGCGAACAGCCACTTAAAAGAGTTGTTCAGTCATCAGTAAAGCAATATTGTCAACTAAAGTTGTCGCCTTTTTCTACTTACTTGGAATTTCTTGAGCGAAGAATATTTCAAAATCTTTCTTGTTCTCGAGCCGCCCGACCTTGTGGAACGTCATTTTCTCCTTTTGAGGTTTAAATATGCCTTAGCGGAGCTCCACGGGTGCGCGAGGCGGTGTGAGCTTAGCCTCGTAGCTAAGAAAATTTGGTTCTTTATCCATCCGAGAAATTTAAATTTGGGTAGTCACTTGTCCGTACCCCTGTCCATCTGTCTTCCGCACCAAGGAAATGTTGTCAAAACAGGGTATCCGTTGACCAGTATCACATGACCTCATCGCGGGCTCACGTGTTGACCCATCGAAGTTTCGCACAATTTTAGGCAAGTAACTCATGGCAGTCTCCATATAGACTCCCTGATATGTTATCTCTTATACCTTGTATACCACTATATATCTTATGTGTACCCATGTTTACCCTAGTAATACTGTATACCCTGTATACCCCTATATATCCTGTGTACCCATGTTTACCCTAGTAATACTGTATACCCTGTATACCCCTATATAACCTGTTTACCCTAGTAATACTGTATACCCTGTATACTCCTATATATCCTGTTTACCCTTGATTACTCTAGTAATACTGTATACCCTGTATACCCCTATATATCCTGTTTACCCTTGATTACCCTAGTAATACTGTATACCCTGTATACCCCTACATAACCTGTTTATCCATGTTTACCCTAGTAATACTGTATACCCTGTATACCCCTACATATCCTGTTTACCCTTGATTACCCTAGTAATACTGTATACCCTGTATACCCCTATATAACCTGTTTACCCATGTTTACCCTAGTAATACTGTATACCCTGTATAACCCTATATATCCTGTTTACCCTTGATTACCCTAGTAATACTGTATACCCTGTATACCTCTATATAACCTGTTTACCCATGTTTACCCTAGTAATACTGTATACCCTGTATACCGCTATATAACCTGTTTACCCATGTTTACCCTAGTAATACTGTATACCCTGTATACCCCTATATAACCTGTTTACCCATGTTTACCCTAGTAATACTGTATACCCTGTATACCCCTATATATCCTGTTTACCCTTGATTACCCTAGTAATACTGTATACCCTGTATACCCCTATATAACCTGTTTACCCATGTTTACCCTAGTAATACTGTATACCCTGTATACCCCTATATATCCTGTTTACCCTTGATTACCCTAGTAATACTGTATACCCTGTATACCCCTATATAACCATTTTACCCATGTTTACCCTAGTAATACTGTATACCCTGTATACCCCTATATATCCTGTTTATACCCTTGATTACCCTAGTAATACTGTATACCCTGTATACCCCTATATAACCTGTTTACCCATGTTTACCCGAGTAATACTGTATACCCTGTATACCCCTATATAACCTGTTTACCCATGTTTACCCTAGTAATACTGTATACCCTGTATAACCCTATCTATCCTGTTTACCCTTGATTACCCTAGTAATACTGTATACCCTGTATACCTCTATATAACCTGTTTACCATGTTTACCCTAGTAATACTGTATACCCTGTATACCCCTATATATCCTGTTTACCCTTGATTACCGATGTTTACCCTAGTAATACTGTATACCCTGTATACCCCTATATATCCTGTTTACCCTTGATTACCCTAGTAATACTGTATACCCTGTATACCTCTATATAACCTGTTTACCCATGTTTACCCTAGTAATACTGTATACCCTGTATACCCTTGATTACCCTAGTAATACTGTATACCCTGTATACCCCTATATATCCTGCTTACCCATGATTACCCTAGTAATACTGTATACCCTCTATACCCCTATATAACCTGTTTATCCATGTTTACCCTAGTAATACTGTATACCCTGTATACCCCTACATATCCTGTTTACCCTTGATTACCCTAGTAATACTGTATACCCTGTATACCCCTATATAACCTGTTTACCCATGTTTACCCTAGTAATACTGTATACCCTGTATACCCCTATATATCCTGTTTACCCTTGATTACCCTAGTAATACTGTATACCCTGTATACCCCTATATAACCTGTTTACACATGTTTACCCTAGTAATACTGTATACCCTGTATACCCTTATATATCCTGTGTACCCATGTTTACCCTAGTAATACTGTATACCCTGTATACCCCTATATAACCTGTTTACCCTAGTAATACTGTATACCCTGTATACCCTTATATATCCTGTTTACCCTTGATTACCCTAGTAATGCTGTATACCCTGTATACCCCTATATAACCTGTTTACCCTTGATTACCCTAGTAATACTGTATACCCTGTATACCCCTATATAACCTGTTTACCCATGTTTACCCTAGTAATACTGTATACCCTGTATACCCCTATATATCCTGTTTACCCTTGATTACCCTAGTAATACTGTATACCCTGTATACCCCTATATAACCTGTTTACACATGTTTACCCTAGTAATACTGTATACCCTGTATACCCTTATATATCCTGTGTACCCATGTTTACCCTATTAATACTGTATACCCTGTATACCCCTATATAACCTGTTTACCCTAGTAATACTGTATACCCTGTATACCCTTATATATCCTGTTTACCCTTGATTACCCTAGTAATGCTGTATACCCTGTATACCCCTATATAACCTGTTTACCCTTGATTACCCTAGTAATACTGTATACCCTGTATACCCCTATATAACCTGTTTACACATGTTTACCCTAGTAATACTGTATACCCTGTATACCCTTATATATCCTGTTTACCCTTGATTACCCTAGTAATGCTGTATACCCTGTATACCCCTATATAACCTGTTTACCCATGTTTACCCTAGTAAAACTGTATACCCTGTATACCCCTGTATACCCCTATATATCCTGTTTGCCATTGTGTTATAATTATCCTCAACATTAAGGCTCGAACTCGGATAACTTCGAAGAGAAGAGTGTGAAAACAATAGCTACACTTGTAAATCACACTTGACAAGTTTTATAAAAACATTGACCCCTAGCTATATTTCACCCCACTTTGCAGTCATTTTTATCCGAATTTCCTTGCCCGTGACAAGAAAGAGTCACTGAAATTTACGCCCGAAATTTACCTAGATAACTTGATTTCTCAGGTTCTTTTAACTCCACTGGGATGCCCTCATGTTACTGAGAAAAACGCTAGTTTAAAACAAATTTTGATTTTCATTGGTGAATCGAACAGATCACGTTTTCTTATATAAAAAATGCCTAATCATGTTAGCATTTCTGATAAATTTTCTCTGTACCATACACTGAAGTGCTGAAAAACTGATCAGTTTTAACATGGCAATCGACTGCGATAACTCGAACAGTTTCTCGTTTCCCTTCAGAGTACTAGTTCCGGGGTTTCTGATCCTACTGATGGTTGAAAATAATCAGTGATTTGTATATATTTAACATTATTTCAAATATTTAATTTAAAAAGGAACCATAATTTAATTCAAGTAGCTTGTGCAATACTGTAATACTTTGTTATAGTCATGCAAATAAAGCTTATTGCTGTTGTTGTTATTGTAATAAATTACTGCACATAGAAGATGTCCCAAGAGAGTGATTTTAAAACCTAATAATCAGTTCCTTGGCCCCTTGATCATTACCTGCGTGGTCTTAGTCTAACCGCGCCGGTAAAGGGTTTCGGGCTGTTAGCTAGATGTTTTTACTTTGTAAAGAGGGCAAGCATGCGCACTGTGTTACAACGTGTCTTTCAACAGCATAAAAGAGTCCCGTAAATTAGTCCCGTATAAATATTTGGGATTGTTAGCAACACTCTCCGTTGCAAGGTGTGCGTTCAAAAATAAACTAAGATGTTTTAGAATAAACGTGCGCAGTCGAGCTGTCGTATCTGTAAACCGACTATGCAGGGAAATTACGAAATTGGTAAAACGGATTGGAGCGGAATCAAATTGTGGTCCACTATTTCAGACCCTCAACTGTCTTTCCAATGTTTTACTGTGATTCATCATATAGTTACATTTTCCATTGAAAAATGGTGGTGTACTGAAATTTAGGACCGAGCAGGCAGACAGGTGCGACTTAAGGACCTCCGGAAAGCCGTTGGACAACCAAACCCAATGCCAGGGGGATTCTAGCAGGTGCATGCTGACATCCGTTCACAAACTTCCTAATTTGGTTGTCCAAAATGCAATACCTCCGCTTTAGATCTTTAATTTTTGCGACAATGAATAAAATTAATTAGACCAAAAGACAAAAGAAAGTAAGTCGGAGTAAGGTGACAAAAATGAGCTTTTGAAGCCCTTGTCGAACAAGCCATTCGTCTACAAAAGATACTGAGTCATTAACACGTAACAAAAAAGTTGTCCTTGTATCACTCAAAGAGTGATCATACAGGCATAAAAAGATACCCGACTTTTTCTATACAATGGAAAGGATATATATATACAAAGGATATACAAGGGTATACAGGGTGTACAGTATTACTAGGGTATATGGGTAAGCAGGACATACAAGGGTATACCAGGTATACAGTATTACCAGGGTAAACATGGGTACACTGGATATAAAGGGGTATACAAGGTATACAGTATTACTAGGGTATTAATGGGTACACAGGATATATAGGGGTATACAGGGTATACAGTATTACTAGGGTAAACATTGGTACACAGGATATATAGGGGTATACAGGGTATACAGTATTTTTAGGGTAAACATGGGTACACAAGGTATATAAGGGTATACAGGGTATACAGTACTACTAGGGTAAACATGGGTACACAAGATATATAGGGGTATACAGGGTATACAGTATTACTAGGGTAAACATGGGTACACAGGATATATAGGGGAATACAGGGTATACAGTATTTTTAGGGTAAACATGGGTACACAAGGTATATAGGGGTATACAGGGTATACAGTACTACTAGGGTAAACATGGGTACACAAGATATATAGGGGTATACAGGGTATACAGTATTACTAGGGTAAACATGGGTACACAGGATATATAGGGGTATACAAGGTATACAGTATTACTAGGGTATTCATGGGTACACAGGATATACACGGGTACACACGATATATAGGGGTATACAGGGTATACAGTACTACTAGGGTAAACATGGGTACACAAGATATATGGGGGTATACAGGGTATACAGTAGTATTAGGGTAAACATGGGTGCACAAGGTATATAGGGGTATGCAGGGTATACAGTACTACTAGGGTAAACAACAACAACAACAACAACAACAACAAGTTTATTCAGTATTACCATTTTGTACAGGTGTTACCGATTAAAATAACAATAATAAACAGCTAAGTTTAAGGAAATACAGGTATGATGGAATAGTAGAATTAACTATGTTTCTTTCGTCTTTCAAATGCTTGAAAGATGAAATTAGCAGCTAGCCTGCTGATATGTGAATCAGTATTGTTAAAAAGAAAACAGACTTTATCATGGATATTGTAGTGTGTAAATAATGTATTTCGGTCGTTTATTTTAATAAAAAGAGTCTTTCTCAAATCATTGTATTGATCACAGTGAAATAATATGTGCAGTTCATTTTCAACCGAATTTTGGCTGCAATGATCACAGATTCTAAGGTCTTCAGGAGTTTTGGGGATTGTAAATCTTCCAGTTTCTATTTTTAAATTATGATTTCCTATCCTAAATTTGGAAGCTACACGCCTATGTTCAGGATTCCGGATATGATTGATGAATTCAGAGTGATTTGTTTCATTTTTAAAGATGGAGTAGAATTTTAGTTTTTTATTTGTTCTGATCAAATTTAGCTGGTGGTTTTTCAGATGTTTTGACAAAGTATTCTCAGCTTTGGATAGGAAAGTAGAAGGGTTTTTAAAGTTAACTGACTGTTTGTGAATATTAAGTTGTGTACTCAAAAGATTTATTTTATTTATTAGACCTGATTTATTTTCTTCGGCCATTTTATCCGATATGTTTAAGCAGAGTTTAGCGATGCTGTCAGGGGTTGATTTTCAAGGTGAATCCAAAATTTGAAAATGTTCATTGTTATTTGTAAATTTAGAGATAATCTACCAAGCTCATTTCTCGATGCAACATTCGGTGAACGTTTGTTTAAACCTAAACACATCTTACAAAAATGTATATGCGTTTTCTCAATCAAGTCTTTATCCCAGCGGCTATAATCACTTTTATCATAGATTCCCCAAACTTCAGAGCAATACGTTAAAATTGGGAAAAATAGTGTATTGAACAGTTTGTTGATGATGTGAATTGGTAATTTTAGAAAATCTAGATAACGACGAGCGGCAAAAAGGATCTCTTTGTTTTTTCTGTTAAGTTTTCCTTGTGATTTGTAAAATTTCCATTGGCTGAAAATTTCACTCCAAGATAGGTATAGTTATTGACGATTTCAATGTTTTCATTGCTAACCATAAAATTGTGTTTATCTATTGCTGATTTTCTACTTTTCTTTTGAAATACAATAACTTTGGTTTTAGTTGGATTAATCTTAAGAAGCCAATCCTGACAATATTTTGATAGTCTGTCAAGACTTTGTTGCAAACCTTCTGCCGAGGTAGATATTAGAAGTAAGTCATCGGCATAAAGTAGACAGTTGAAGTGAGAACCATCTGGTAGTAAGATAGAATCTTTAGCATTGTTATTTAGAATGAGGGGTAGTTCGTTTAGATAAAGGTTAAATAGAAGCGGCGACAGAATACAGCCTTGTCGTACACCTTTATCATAGTTGAAAAATTCTGATCGAGTATAATTGTCTTTCACACAACATATTGAATTTGAATACATGCTGGAAATTATTTTGTAAAAGGAGCCACCTATGTTATATTTCAACAGTTTGTATAGTAAACCTTGGTGCCAAATTGAGTCAAATGCCTTTTTAAAATCAACAAAACAAGTATAAAGTTTACCTCTGGGGGAGTGGGTAACATGTTGGTCTATTAATGTTCTTAAACTAAAGATATGTTCGGACGCACGATGTCCGGGCACAAAGCCAATTTGGGAGCGATGAAGTATTTTATGATTGTTTGAAAAGTTTAATAATCTCGTATTTAAAATAGAACAAAAGACTTTGCCAAGACAACTATTAATGCAAATACCTCTGTAATTTGAAGGGTCATCTTTGTTTCCAGATTTATGTAAGGCAGTGATTATTCCATTACTCCATGATGTAGGAACTGTTCCAGATTGTAGAATCAGATTAAAAAGTTTCTCAAGTGGATATTTTATAAAGCTTGAGCTTGTTTTAATCATTTCATTGCGTATTCCATCAAGTCCAGCGGCCTTCTTGTTTTTTAGTTTTTTAATTGCTTTATCAATCTCTTCAATGGATATTGGGTTGTCTAATTCCGATTGTAAATGGTTGCTGTCCTCCAAACGCTATTTATCGTTTAACATGTGTATTTGAAATGCCGATAATGTATTAGGATCAGGTGCTGAGTGTAGCATTTTAAAATGATCATAAAGTTTATTGGTCGGGTTTTCGTTATTATTATAAGACAAGATGTTTTCGTTCATTGACTTTAGAGTATCCCAAAATTTACGGTTATTTTCGTTACTAATCAGCTCATTTATTTTAGAGTCAACAAATTGTTGTTTTTTTTGTTTTATAAGTTTTTTAAAGGTTTTATTTTGAACATGATATTCTTTTCTGAGTTCCGTATCCAGAGGATTGCGGTGTTTTTTGTTAGATAACTTTTTAAGTGAAGATCTTAACGTTTTGCAATCATAATCAAACCACTTCTTAGTAATTGGCTTTCTTTTAGATTTCTTTTGGCTACTTAATTTGAGTGAACGTTTTGCGGCCTCAGTCATAATGTTTGTGAATTGATTGGTAGCATTTTCAACATCTGTACTGCTTAGATTGAAGTTTGTACTTTCGAAGAGATGTAATAAAGACAGAAT